TCTCTCCACGAACCCCTCGCCCTAGAACCCTGACCATCCTCCCCCCCCTCGGCCGAACGGCGGCACCCCTTTGCCATCGATATGTTTATCAATATTTAATAAACAACATGTCCCGACGCGCTTGCCGAAACCCCCTTCTCCAGCTCCTCTCTTAGCCTCTCTGCCAGGATTGCAGTGTATACCTTATACAACGACGGCAAGTAGGAATATAGTGGACTTCCGAGGCCGGGTGCTCCGAGGGGGGAGCGGGGCGGGGGGAGCTTGAGGGCGAGGGAGCTGGAGTGGAAGAGAATAATACCACAAAACCAGATAGAGTTTAGAAGGGGAATGGGAACTATAGACAACATTTATGTGCTGAATCATTTGGTAAATAGAAGGTTGGAGAAAAAAGGGGGAAAGCTGATAGCATGTTTTGTGGACCTTAAGGCGGTATTCGATTCGGTAGACAGAGGAGTCTTAATAAAAGCAATGAGAGAAAGGGGAATAAGGGGAATAAGAGAAGGGGAATAAGGGTAGGGAAATAAGGGAAGGGTTGGTGAGAAGGACAGAGGAGATTTTGAGAGAAACGGAAAGTAGGGTAAGGGTGGGAACTGAAATAGGGGAAGAGTTCTGAACAGGGAGGGGTGTAAGACAGGGGTGCCCACTGAGCCCGTTACTGTTTAATGTAATGTTAGCAGATATGGAGGAAGAAGTGGGAAAGGTGAAATGGGGAGGGATAATGGTAGGAGGTAAGAGGATATATACATTGGCGTACGCGGATGATGTAGTGCTAATAGCAGAGGATAAGGACCAAATGAGGAGCATGTTAGAAAGGCTAGAAGGATACTTAGATAAGAAGGGACTAGATCTGAATACGGAGAAAACGAAAATAATGACGTTTAAAAAAGGCGGAGAGAGGAAGAGCAAGAGAAGATGGAGATGGAAAGGAAAAGAAATAGGAGAGATGAAGAAATTCTGTTATTTAGATTATGTATTTCAAAGGAATGGAGGACAGGAAGCACAGATATGGGAAAGGATTAAAAAGGTGGCCGCAGTGATGGAGAAAGTTTGAGGGATAGGGAAGAGAAGATTTAGGAAAGACTGGGGGAAAAAATGTGGCTTTTTGACAGACTGATGTGGACATTAATAAGATATGGAGCAGAAGTATGGGGATGGAGGGAGAGGGCAGGATTGGAGAGAGTGGAAAAAAGATATATTAAATGGGTTTTGGGAGTAGATGGAAGAACACCGGGTTACTCAGTAAGGGAGGAGCTACAAAGAGAGAAGCTAAGAGGGAAGGCGGGGATGATGGCATGGAGATTCGAGAAGAAATTAAAGGAGGGAAAAGGAAGTGAGCTGGCGAGGCTATGTTGGGAGAAGCTGAAGGGAAGGGAGAAGGAGGGGAGAGTGGAATCAAGTTAGGAACAGGAGAGGGAAAGTTTCTTGTAAGATAGAGGGGTGGGGTTAAAAGGGCTGGAAAGGTTAAGAGAAGAAGGAGAAGGGTGGCATTATGCCCTATTCCAAAAAGATAGGGAGAAGCAAAAGAAAGAGAAGGGTGGCGAGGTTTAAGTTAGGGAATAAGATGAAGGAAAGCAGGTATTGGGAAGGAGAAGAGAAGAAGAAATGTAGGATGTGTGAAAGTAAGGCGGAAACATGGGAGCATGTGTGGGAGGAATGTAGGAGGTGGAAATCAGGAGGAGGAAGTTGGCAGGAAGCGGTGGTATGGGTATTGGGACAGGAGGGGGAGGGTGAGGGATGGATGATGGAAATAGAAAGGGAAAAGATGGAAGGAAAAGGGGAGGCGGGGGAGTAGAAAAAAGGGGTAGAAGAAGGAGGTGGGGGAGAAAAGAGAGAGAAAAGGAGAGAGAGAGGGAAAATGAGAGAGAGGGAGAGAGAGCTAGGACGGAGAGAAAATTGTAACGAATAGAAGGAAACAGACATATATAGAATGCAAGAGGAAACGGAAGTCCCATTGAGAGGCGTATGTGTGTGTGTATTAGGAATAGGGGAAGAGGAAGCATAGCATATGCAGAATCTTCCCTCTCTAAATTAGATTTAGGGCCAGTTCCACAAATGTCGGTTAACTCTTAACCTCAGGTTAACTTATCCTTTGTTTCTTTCTAACGTCCCCCTTAGAAAGAGACGAAGAGTAAGTTAACCTAAGGTTAAGAGTTAACCGACATTTGTGGAACTGGCCCTTAAGGTTTTAGTTAAGGTTAAGTTAAGGATGTAGGTTAAGATTTTTGTAAAAAATTGTAAACCCTACGGGGGAAACAATAAACTATACTACTATAATCATATATGACCATATATAGTCAATATATATTAAAAAAGAACTGTTAACTTCGATAATAAAGCATTGATAAATTAAGATGTATATTTTTTCAAAAGCTGTAGAATCAAAAGTGAAATGATTTATTCCATATATTATAACTTGGCACTGCTTGACGTGAGACAGTGCCGTGTCTCTTGATACCTGTTTATACCACTGTTTGTCAAATTTTAAATACGAGAAACGAATCCTATTGAATGTCATCTATTGGATAATCCGAATTTAAAGTTTATATATAATTTTATATAATCATGTATAATCTACATAGATAAATGCTTCTTATATATAATTTATATATAAATTATATGAACTCATATATAATCATGTCAAATTGTATATGAAACATTTATATATATTTAAATATATTTTAATCGCCTTTATAATTATATATAATCATATATGTCATCATATATAAGTACGGAAATTTTGCTTTTTATATATAACGTTACATGAAATTATATATAATCATATAGGGTTATATATACTTCCATATGAATCTTATATGTATCCGTACATGAGTGCATATATGATCTGTTGTTCATATATCTAGTTATATTTGGAATTATATAAGCCCATATATAATTTTATATAAAGCACCAAAGTTCATATATAATCATGTATATTTATATATAATTATATATAATTATATATAATTACATATAATCTTTTTTTCCCGGGTTTCCTCAATGGAGTATAAATATCGAATGAGACACGTCTTATAATTTTTTCTCACGCCTCTTTTTCGTGAGATTTTTTTGAAGTCCAAATCTATACTTGAACGGGATAGGAGTCAAAGAAAAAATAAAAAAAACGTGCAAATTAAAAACTTGTCAGAAGGCTGTACTGTAATTGCAGAGCGTGCAGTCACATCAGAAGATATTGCATGCAGGATGAAAGGAAAACGCTAGTATATCTTGATTGAGTAGCAATGCCTTTTAATATGTGTTAATCGGCTACTGAGGTTTATACAAAGGTGGCCGATGGACAAAAGACAATGAGAAACCCCGCGCGAATAATAATTTGAGAACTAGAAAGCAGAGCTACCAACCTATGTTTTAGTACAAATTACTATACTTATTAAAAGGGCGGCATTGTGGTCTAGTGGTAGAGTGCCAGACTCGTAATCTGAAGAACCAGGTTCGAGTCCACTAGAGCCATGTAAACATGGAATGTTTTTCCAAAAGTTGCGCCCTCCGTGCAAGATAAGCTCTTGTGCGGAGCAAACTGGGCTCCGTCTTTCGGAAAGAGACGCTAAGCCGTTGGTCCAAAGGGTTAAGTGAGAGGAGAAGGGTAGTATTGGATGAGAATTGAATAAAGGGTTGGGAACGTCCCTACAAAAACGCTTTGCAACCCTGAGGGGAGTCAATAAACGTATTTTTTTTACTATACTTATTAACTGGTATCTTCCTTTCTCGGCATTTTATCTTGTTTACAAATTTTCTTCTATGAGGAGGCCAAAATTGACTAACTCATTTTCTCATGCAGGGAATTTATCGCGAATTTAGTTGGACGCACCAGTGCGCACTTAGTGCACATTAAAGCCGTTGTACTTCACTAATTTAATCTATAATATTTAAAGTAAAATGGAAATATTTCGACTGATAAAATGCCTAATACATATTTTACCAAATAGTACAATAATGACTCGTTTATATTAAACATACACTTTCCGTTGATTTGTTTACGGCGGCTTTAATGTGCACTGAGTGCGCACTGGTGCGTCCAACCGAATTCGCTATTAGTTAACAAAATAAAATAATAAAGAAGCAAGGTGCAAGTTTCTAATTTTCTCTTTTTTATATGTTGTAGTAGCTATGCTCCACATAACACATGCAAAGTAAAATAATTAAAAAACTTTAATTAAAATTTGTTAATATTAAAATAAAAATTATTAATTGAAATTTTCTTTTATTTTCTTTCATTATTGGTTACAATTTTTTTTATCAAAATTATAAAATTAGTTACTATCACTATTGCTACTACCGTTGGTACTGCTACTGCTGCTGCTGCTGTTGCTACAGCTGCTCAAATGACTACTGTTGGAATTGCGTGAAGGTGCGCTCTTATTTTTTTGTTTTGTTTTATTTACAGTTTCTTCTACAACATGAGCCCATAATTTATTTTTTATGTCATGTTTTCGAAATTTAAAATTTTTATCGAACTAAATTTTCATTGGGAGTAAGTCATGACTTGGGAGTAAGTCGTGACTATAGCTCGTCCTATTCTTGTCTACAAAAAATTATGAATCTATAATAACTTACTTGTCGTCTTCGCGACGCGTTTTGTGACTCTGTTTATGTCAGAGATTTCTTTGTCTTATGAATGTTTGGTAATCCCCTACCAATTCTTCAATCTTGTGCTTGTTATAACGACGATATAATTCCAGGAAGTACCTGAATATATCTGTAACAAAAAGTATAATTAAATTATTTTTTGGAAGGTATCTTGAAAAAAACGCTAAATTTTATACGAAATGCGTCTATCAATTCTGTTTAAAATTTTTCTTTTTCCAGAAAAATTTTTTTGTATGCAAAAAGTCCGTGTACTAACATAAATATATAAATTAAAAAGTAGTTTATTTCTGAACATTTGAATAAACTTTTCTTCGATTGCTTTCACAATACTTTTGTGGCTTTTTTTTTACTTTTTAACCTTTAATATTTCGAGTATCTCAAGTAGAATTCTATAAAATTGTTATTTACTGTATTCATATACTACTGCAACAATAAAAAGTTGAATTTTCGGGATTTAGCGTTGGATAGCCAATATGTCTTTAAAAATGGAGCCTTCTGTGCAAATAGTTGTTAGTGAGTTGAGACTATTGAAGGGCCCATCTTGAATGTAAAACGATTATGTACTTGTTAACAATTATTGAGCTACAAAATTTAGGACCCTTACAAAGACTACAAGTCAATGAAAGTGCTCCCCAAATGCCGATGTCACGTAGAGATAAACGATTAATTCAAGTTGATTACTAGTGCAATATAAAAGTGCATACTTACCGCGAACAGCAAGCGCTTTTGTGAGATTCAGCGAAGGCTTCGGATTACTCTTGGTGCGATTGGATGATGCACCTGTTACGCTCGATCTTTTTAGTTTCTTATCCCCAAAAATAGCGAGAGCCATGTTCTTTATAAACATCACGTCCAAATGTGCATCAAACACGGCATTGTCATAGGTCATTTTATCTATCCAAATATTCTGGCCATAGTGTATCTGTTAATTTCACAATAAATTTTTTGAAACAGCATGCAATAAACTTCTTTTTATAAGCTAATATAAAACAGCCGGAAGTTAAGAGCATGCAAAAGATAGCAGTTTCATAAATTATCTTTTGTAAAGGTCGGTGGGATTTCGAAAAGAAACTGTTAATTCAATATACTTTGACTTACCTTTTCTTCATTGCCATTTTTACGGATGAACCCCGGGACCGGTGATTTATTGATGTCTTCAAGATGTACGTTTTCATCATTGTCGACTGCTGATGTACGAGCACCTGTACTTTTTTTAATTACTTTTATATTTATGATGTAATGACACAGAGTTATGTACAAAGAATTTTATTTTACATTTTTGGAAGCAAACTACTTTCAGTGATCTGTTAATTCAAGATGTTCAATATCTTTAACGACCAAAATATATCATGAAGGTTTTTACACGATTAGAATATACTTTTTTAATGACATTTTTCATCACAAAATTAAAATATTTTTATTAACACGCTTGAACAATCGTGTTCGAGACTCTTGAAACCATTGCTATCCTTACATATTTAGTTATATTTTATTTAGTTATATTTTGTCATATTCTTTTTAGTATTGTTCCAAATTATATGAAAGGGATTATTCATAAAAATGCTATTGAATCTTTTCGACTGGTGCGATACTTTGGACTTTCCTGCATACTTTAGAGAAAGTTTGGAGACGTTTTCCGAGATGATGTTTGCGCGAGATAATATCTGGCAGCATCAAAATTTGCATATATGTGTGTGGAATACACAAAAAACATCAGCAACGTGAGCATGCTCATGTGGACTACTCGTGTAACAAAAAGTACTTACTCTGTAGCTGCTTCCAGTTGCTCTCTATCGTGCTGAGATATTGCATTACCGATGCCTCAAATTTTTCACATGACTGTTTTGATTGTTCGAGTTGATTCGTTAACTTTTCAACTAATTCAGTTAGCTTTTGCAAGCAATCACCAACATTTACTTTTTCCATTTCTAAATTCTTCTTTAAGCGCAATTTATCCTATATATGTAAATACCATATTTTTTTTATTTCCGATATATACATTTTTATCCTCATCTAACAGTATTCAAAATAAGAAAGAAATGAAGAAAGAAACCTTTGTATTAACTCAGATATTTGCATATTGCTTCCTCATAACTTTCCCGTCGTCACAAAATTTTCATGAGGAAGAAAAGAGACTGACATGCTCATTAAGAAGTTTTATGATAATGGAAAAAGTTAGGCAAAACACCAGGGAGAAACGCGAGATCGGATAGACATCTAGCAAACGTCTATCAGACGCATCTAACTTAGATCGATAAACGCATCTAGATAGACGTCTAAGTGGCCTCTTTTAGACGCATATAATAGACGTCTAATAGACGTTCTGCGTAATAGACGTATTATAGACGTATAATAGATCTACCTCTAAAGTAAAAGGACTAATTTACTTATTACTAAATAATAATACGTACTCATTTATACAAGATAAGGAATTTAAAGTATGGCACAATATTTTTCAAAACATTTAATTTCTGGGAAAAATGTTACCAAGGAGTACATACATATAAATGTTAGATCATCCTACGTGCCTTCTGTCTCTCGAAAACTGTCCTTTTCCTCAAAGAGGTTCGTTACTTACTCATCCTTTTTTTTCATTCTTTATTCACTCCTAGCGTTCTTCGTAGTCTGTATTCAGAACTCGCATCTATTCTCACTAATTGAAATTAGCAGCGAAATAATTGATTGTTTTAAACAACGGTTCTGAATATCGACAGACCTTTTTGCTCATCCGGTCTGCTTATTGCGTTGTATCCCATACAAGTTGGTGTATTTAATACGAGTATGTTAAATAAACTATTTAAATCACACTGATATTTGGTACTTAACACTGTAGAATGTAGAAATCCTGAAAAAGGGGAGTGCAAGGAAGATTCGTCGATAAGACTTGCCCTCGTTGCATTTGTATACATATTTTTTTATTAGTTATTCTTACACGGTTTTTTTATGAGCGGATATATATTTACACATCAAGATACAGAGTCGAAACCGAGTCATCTTGGTATTGTATTAATAATGAAAGACAAACGCAGTAAGATAAAAACAAACGAACAAATGATACAAAAGATGATGCTTCAGTATCGTATCAGTATATATATATGGTATATGTATTATGTATACTAATGTCATTATAATCATTTTATTATTTAGCAATTCTCTCGTTCGCTATAGTTAAGTCTGGGCAGAAATTGACGAACTCGCACTTACATGTTTATAACAAGACATCCGCAATTGAACGCCAGATTCACAAATCCACTCTCTCTCTCTATGAACCCTCGCTCCCACATTTTTATCGGAATCGTAAAAATAAAAAAATAAAATAAAATAAAATTTACTAGCGCGTCTAAACACAAACGCGTAACTCTATGATTGTCCTACTAGGATGATCTACGAGACTCGGCCATCGCAACAGTGGCTTTTCGCGATAAACACCCCGCAGGGTCTTCTTACAAAATTATTTGGTCTATCTTGCAGTGTATCTAAAGCTTGAACTATCTTGCACCTCTGGTGGTGTCACTTCGTTCCGACGTAAAAAGAGCATGTCGATATTTCTACATCACAATAAACCTGTAATACTAATGTGCAGGTTTCATTCTTTCTTTGGCATTTCGCAGCCATGGTCTGAGAGACTTCAATGCTTCACTCAGATCACTTTCTTCAAATTTTAACAACAATGTACCTAAAAAAATAAACGTATGGATTAAAAAATATCAACATTTGCTAAAAAAAAAGAACTAGCTGGATTCTGAAAAGCGCATTTTATATATACATATATGCACATGCGCACATACATTTCACGGAACTCAACTACTCATTCAGACATTATACCTTGTACCAATTCCCATAATTTTGTGGATTTGAAAGCCAATTTAGTTCCATGACCATCGAAGTTATACTCTTGGGCAAGAGAGTTACTCATGAGGTTTGACATAAGTTTAGATACTGCTCGAGCTTCATCATTTCCCAAAGGAAGAGATTTCAAATAGTAACACTGAAATAAAAGGAGATTGATACAGAAACAACAGATACGTAAAGGTTATCCGACGTTACATTTTATCAAGTAAAGAAATATATAATTTAATAATAAATAATAAAAACTTGCAACTCCAATATCTATGGCGTTACGATTAGATATCAGGGTGTGTTGCACGCGGTGTTACGGCACGAGCGATATACACGACACGAGCAATAATCCACGGCACAAGCATTAAATACGACAACTTCTTTTGACTCGATTATAATTATAATGTCTAATGACCAACTTAAAGGAACGCCAGAGTGCGGAGATAATTTATACCGGAAACCAGTGCCAACAACAATAGTCTCGATCGATGGCAAATGTTTTCTCAAAAATTCCAACGATCTGAATAATATGTTTTGAATCGTGGCGAAAGTCGACCCAGCAACAGCGAGAAGTAGTGTATAGCGCGTTATTACTGAGCGCGAGTCTATGTAAAAAAACAACGTGTACACACGGCCGGCCCGTGACCGAGCGCCAAGGCCGCCGACAGCAAGGCGAAAACGTATGGCTTGCTCGAGAATATTCTAGATCTGAAAATAATGTGTACTACTGTACTTACCGGTTTATCTGTTTTATCCATTTCGATTGATCTTTAGTCGATGTAACGGATGAGTCCAGATGAACAAAAAAAATCCAGCTCGCAATTATACAGTCATCCAAAAATATAATTGCTCTAGTTCCGGCCAGAACCGGCCCGAATCCGCTCGCCAACACTCCCGACAAAAACCACGAAAACCTCCACACGCAGTGAAAACGCGGATCCGCGGACCCACGACCATTAACGCCCCGGCTGAAACACGGCAAAACACGCACGGCCAGATCTGGCCCGGATAACCCGCTCGCGATCGCCACCACCCGGCACGGATGCGTCGCATATACGTATGACAACCGACGCCGGTCGAGATAAAACCCGAAACGCGATGGAAACGCGGATCCACGGGCGCGCGACCGAAACTCTTTAGTCGATTGCTGCACACACACAGGACACAGGACGATGGGACTGCACGACTTAACGAGACGCGAGCGCGAGAACAACAACGTTTCCCGCGCGGTTAGAGCGAGCTTCTAGGAGAGAGCTAGAGAGGCGCTCATTGGTCACGTGACGTTTATTCCAGTCAATCAGAGAGTGGCTCGTTAGTGCTACTCTCTCCTATAGGCTCTTTACGCGCGGTAAAATGGCGCGACGCCAGTGTAGACAATCAAATATTAATAACCAGCATTAATTAGCTAATAATGACGCCCGCGAAAAAATCAATCACTATAACGTACAGCATTCCGTAAAAGTCTAATTTTAATTAAAGATTAATTAATATCAATTATTGTGTACATATAATTATATTTAGCAGCAGCAGAGCGAAGTAGCCGCCTGCACGCCCCGATATCGACGTCGTATCGATGTCGATTCGACGTCTTTTCAAATTCATTACGTGTCATTCACTTAGACGTCTATTAGATGTTTATTAGATGTCGAAAAGTAAATTGAGCTCAAAAAAGTGTTTTATGAACAATGCACCGTTATTGTGTAAATATTAGGTTTGAACTGTCTCTAAGAAAACGCGGTGGCATAAAATCACATAACATCTAATTAAGATATTTCTAGACGTTGTTTTAGATTAGATGGCTCCGACATCTAATAAACGTCTATCCGATCTCGCGTTTCTCCCTGGCGCGCAGGTTTCTACACTTTCAAGGGTTTCTTCTCACAATCAGTTGCATTCACTTACGCTTGTTTTACGGGCATGCTTCTTTTTTGTGAGGTGAGACCTCTTCTTCTTATTGTTAGAATGTTTTGTATTCTGTGGACATGATAGTTTTTTTTAAACAAGACATTGCAAAATGTGACTCAATAACTTCATCGATAAAAATAAATAGTAATTCTGCTTTCATACTTTGTTATTATTGTTTGACGGAAGAGGGACCAATTTATTAAATTTTAATGCTTTATTCGGCGGAGTCGCATCTGTTTTCGTTGACGATGGTTTACTGTTGAAAGATAGCGTTGATGAAGAAGTCAAGGAAACTTCAACCGCAGGAGACTTCGGAACTTCAAGATCTTTTGCAAGATATTCACCTGTCGCAGGCGAATTCCCTAGGGAGAGTTCAACGCTCTTTATTGGAGACACCATATGGGGTGTCACAACACCGTCCGAACTCTACAGAAAACATGATGTGATGAAAGGAGGTCCTATATAAACTAACAATAAGTTGATAACAATTGGGGAAAATAGTAATAAAAAATTGCAAATTATTCAAGTAATGATAATGAATTTAACGGGTCACGCCCGGGCACAAAATAATCACAAATTAAAATTTTTTTTCATGCAACCACTGTAATGAAATTTTTTTATCATACATGTGCTTTGTTAACGCTGATGGGATTGTAAATAATCTATTTTTGACATTGTTTATCTGCTCATCAATCAAAGTTGATTTCTTCTCACAAATATTAAAACACTTAATTGTGATCTTCCAGAGGTGCAGATTTATATACCCATCTACAGCCGCGCTGTGTTGAACGTTCCAGATGCATTTTTTATCGGTGCAGGAAATATTCTCAAATTTGTCGACATTATGTCTAAAAGTTTACATTGAAACAGCATACTACTACATGTGTTATTGTTAATATATACATTAATAACTTTTATATGTACTTACCAATTACAATATAGCAAAACTGCAACCGTGTGTTTGCATTTTGCACTCATCCCTGTTTTACAACTGCATTTTGCAGATGATATTTTCCCTGATTTCTCTATTACTATGTTTATTTTGTGAGGTGTACTTTTAACATCTGACATTTGAAGGCAATATGCAGTTAAATGCCATTTGTCAGGGGTTTTTTTTCAGGCGTCCTCGGATGAGGACTATTACGGTGCTTTAGACCCTAAAATAATTAGAACAATGCAGACTGAACTTAAGTTACTTTTCCTCTAGTGATCAAATGACTTTGTCAATATGTTTTAAACATTTGAAAATAATATATAGAATATCCCAATTCTTGGTTTTAATGAGGTGACAAATATCCATTTCGACCAAATAGCCCTCAGCTCTTAACTCTACATCCATGTCAATTCTCTGAGCATCGTATTTATGGCATCTTGTCAGCAGATGTTGCAAGTCTTCCCTCTCATAACTACATTCACACCTTTCATCGTCAACATAACCCTTCCTCCTCAAAGAAGCTCCGAGATTATAGTGGTTGGCTCTCAATCTGTTGATTAAAGTGACGAAATATCTCTCCGCGTTAACCTCTCGGAACCATGGTCTAACCGCTTGCCGATCGTAAAAATTGTCGAAGTAAAAAGCGCCCTTGTGCGCAGAATCGCAAATAAATCAATAGTTGTGTGGCGTCCCACGTCTCCCTTCTAGCGCGCGTCATGAGATCCCCCATCGGAGTCTCAATGGAGGGGTACGTCAGCCTCCTCACTGGCAGCCTCCTTGGCCAGCACGTCAGCCAATTCGTTGCTGGCAATTCCGACATGAACGGGGATCCACACTAATACGACATTCTTACCATACTCATATTCCAATTCATATACTAATATTCTGGCCTCCGTAATATATTTATTCTTATGAACGTTAAGATGATTGTTATATATAGCCTGTAGGACAGATTTGCAATCTGAGAAAATAACAATATCTTTATTTCTGTCTATGTGTTGAATCTTCATCAGTTGAAGGGCTGACTTAACGGCGAAAGCCTCCGTCGTGTATGAGGAGCACAAATAAGGTAGACTCATCTTCTGCGCTGTTTCTTGGTCGCAGATGATCATACTGGCACCTGTGGATCTTGAGTCTTCATTATACGATCCATCCGTAAAAATAATTTCCGGGGTATCATTCAGATCATACTGATCTATCACTTTTCGAGCCAATGTTCGATCAGAAAACCTATCACTCTTTCTCTCCTTGCCAATTGCAAAATTTACCTTGGGCTTGAATGTGTGAGCACTGTATGTGCCCGGAAAAATTTCAAATTTTCTGGGGGGACCGATCGTGGAAATGAACGAACGAGCCCCCCTCCATAACTCCGAAAGGAGCGACAGCCTATACATTGGTTGGCGAAATTGGGCGTAGCTTTCGCAATCTAGCAGCCGCTGTAACTTGCCGCATAGACCACTTTGATTGTAGGCAATAGATTTGTTGATAAAATTGCGGCCGAGTAGAGCAGCGCGGTCCTTCAGCAGCCTCACCTTGGCCTCTGCTACGATAACGTTGTTTGCTGTATTATTTCTATATCCAAGGGCAGTACGAATGCCCTTGAATAGATATTGGGATCTTTCCAGCTTCAACTGCAGCGCAGTATCCCTGGGGAAAGTAGAAAAAGTTCCCATAATCCGTAATGAATCTTACCAGCATGAGGGCTGTGTTGACCTCCATACCTTTAGACACCTTACAGAGGTACTTTATAACAGAATTAGTTCGGTTTATTATTCCTCTAACTTCTGCCACTTGTCGATCATACTTCAAACAATTGTCCAGCCAAATGCCCAGGAACCTAGCTCCGTTGCTATTGTGCACCACACAATCTCCCACACGAATGCTAAGGTTTCTATCAACAAAGCCACTCTTGGAGAACTCCACCAATACAGACTTTTTTGGCTCGTGATCAAGGTCAATCTTACGCAGACGTGCCGCAACAATGTCAAGCGCACGCTGGAGCAGCACTCTATTCCGGTGCCGGTTTGGACCACATATGTATAGCCCTATATCATCGGCAAATTCAACAACCCTCGACACCCTCAGGAAGATTGGCACAAATACCCTGCGTGAACAGGGAATATAGTACAGGACTAAGAACAGCACTTTGCGGGAGTCCCTTAAAGACGTATTAAATTATAAATTCAGGAGAATTAACAATAAATCGTACCTTTCTACGGTAGAGTCAGTTGCTAATAAACTTGACAATACCGGAGGGACAATCAAGTGCTATTAGTTTATCTATCATTATGCGGAAGTCAACGCAATCGTAGGCAGACGAAACGTCGAGAAAGACCGCAAGGGTATATTTCCTAGCACAAACAGAGGCTCTGATGTCCGACACAATTCTCGTCAAATTATCTGCGCAGGATCTGTCTCTGCGGAAACCGCTCTGGGAAGTACTGAACTTCTCTTCCTTTTCTGCCCACCAGATAAGTCTCATTGATCATTCTTTCCATCAATTTACCGATGCACAATGAAAGTGATATGGGGCGTACCTTTTCTCGTCCCACTTTGTCGATAAATATTACCTGGTAGTTCAACCATTCCGCAGGCAACATTCCCGAAGACCAGACCACATTGGGGGTGTCCACCGCCATAGTCCATAGCAGGATCAGTCCCCACAAACGGGGGAGCCAATCCTTCAATGGAGGTTCTGATTTCCTCCTCTTTATTCTTCGTGGGCCAAGCATGCCATTCCAAATTCTTTCTAGCGTTCTTGAGAATGCGCATCGTGTTTCACACGTAGCTGAGACTTGTAAAACAATTAATATCGCTACAAAATCTCTCAAAGTTAGCTTTCTTTTTTGCCTTAAAGGTCCGCCTGGCCAGCGCCTTGGTCCTCTTATACTCAATCCAGTCATGAATACTTTTTGTCCTCTTTTAAGTAAAAAAAGCAGATTTTCTGCTACAAATCGCCTCGTCACATTCAGCGTCCCACCACTTATGCGATCTCTTGCGCCTGTCGGGATCGTCTGGAGGAGGTCCAGGATCCTCACGTCGTCTACCCGATGCAATAGAAACGGATTTTCTCAGTATTTCCACGAAGCAATCATAGTACTTCTCCAGATCGACCTTGAAAAGCTCACAATGTGGGAGCAAGAAGGCAACAACCTCGCCCTCCACCAAAGTGCTGAATTACAACCAGTCTGTCCTTGCAGTAGACAATCTATTAGTGATTTTTCTGTACAACTGAGGATAAACATCAAAGGAAAAAGAGATGAAAAAATGATCGCTGTCCCATGTCTCTTCCAGTTGTCGATAGAAAACTCTGTCGACGATACCCTCCGAACCGAACATTAGATTCAGGTTGGAATCGCGCTGGTCACGAGAGCCCTGTCGCGACTTAGTGTCTGTATTTATGCATATGAAGTCCTCATCACTCATCAGGTCATATAAAAGATCGCCCCTATTCTTTGTAGTTGGACAGTTCCAGGCGACATTGTGGGCATTCATATCTCCCAATATAATCGAGTCATTATTGTTACCATTAATTGCCTGAAAAACGGGCAAAAGATCACGTCTCGTCATAGGTTTACTAGGGTGCCTATAGATAGCGACTATATTTAGATTTTGATTCAAGTTCTTGGTTCTCACGCCGACAACATCATAGCCCACCGATAAAGTCCAAAGGATAGAGAGAGTTTCAAACTCCAAGTGATTAAGAAGGAAAATTGACACGCCCCCACTGCCGAGGCGATTGTTACTATTGACTGTCTTATAATTGGAGAAAAAACCTTATTGAGACCAGAGCATCTGGTTTCAGTAAGCACCATAATATCATACTCTAAAATATTTTTCGTAAGCTCATCTCTATTAGTCTGATAGCCCCGGCCATTTCACAGACGGAGATTAAATTATAAAGCGGGGAGGGTCCCAGGCCTCCCATATCTTACCAGAGCTTTCCCTAAGTCCTTATTTCTGTTCAGTTCTCTTCTCGCTAAAAGGTTATTTTCACTTCCACCGTAATCCAACTGATCCCGTCTATCAGTATGCATAAGTGCGCTAGTCAAAATTTCTATTGCCTCCGGAAATCTCTGCAGTAGTTGCAGAATATTATTCAATACCTCGCCAACCAGGTCGTGAGAAGGGTCTGAGCCTCCGTGATTATCTTCTTGATCACCCCTAACAACTTGCGTCCAAGAAGCCCCATTATGTGCCGCAAGCAGGGCTATGCCCCTCTTCTCCTTAGTTATCTCCTCAGCACGGCTGTCAAAGCGATCATAATAATTCCCAATGTGCCCCGAAGGCGGGTGCACTTCTCGGCCTAAAACGAGGCAGATTGTCCCTCGTCTCTGCAGATTGTGGGTCGCGGAGAGTAGGGTTTCGTCTTAAATTTCCAACTTCTGCAGCATTATTCGGTGGCTCCGTTTCCCTCGATAGTATTGGCCAAGCCTTAGAGTCTCCAAATCTATCTTGTGGCTTTGCAGGAGACGCTCTTCTCACAACCAACCGCACAGTTTTATGAAATGAAATGTTATTATGTGCCACAGCAATGTTAATATTTTTGTTTTTTTCATGCAATGGGCATCCTCTATACGTAGATTTATGAAAGCCTTCGCAATTATAATAGCGCACCGGTCTGTCACAATGCCCGTGGATTTATCACCGCAGACGATACACCGAGTTTTGCTTTTACATGCTATCTTAGTGTGGCCAAATCTAAAACAGTTAAAACATTGGCGTGTAGGCGGTACGTACGGTCTCTCAGTCCCACTCCATTTCTAAAAATTTTTAGGTTACGGGTCTTATTTGCCTTAAATGTGATGATAATATTGTCCGTGTTGACTAGCGACGATTTTTGGGACTCGGGGTCTTACCTCCGCCGGAACATCCTGTCCAATCTGAGTATACCAGATTTATCCTGAATCACGTCCCACAGATCCGAAATACTTGAGGGCCAGTCCGAAATAACTCCCTTGCAAATAACAGCGCGTTGCTCCAAATGAGCTGTTAATTTCGGCTCATTGATTTTTCTTATAATGTCTAGAGCACGATTAGCGTCAGAGAAATCCTTAAAATCTATTTCAGCTGAGAAATGATTAATCATGACAGCGTTGTCGAGCAGATATGCAATTCGTTAAGAAACATCCACATCTTTATACGATTCCTACCTTTTGTCGTAGTGGTTTGGTCGGGGGGGGGGGGGGCGAATAATAATCTTGGCGATTCCCTTATGATTTCATATCTCGCAAATCGTTGCACGTCAATAGAATTACCGGGAACACATTTTCTCAAAATGGAATCGCAAATGATATAAGATTCTTTGTCAGGCAACAGGGGATCATCCACACTATTTACGCGTGGCGTGTTCACGTCACTCACGTGATCACCTAAAGACGGCTGCGTGCCACCGGCAACAATATCAATATTACTATTACTCGAAGTCGTTTTGTTTATGAAAAGTTCACGACCTCTAGTCTCCTCAAGGCTCGCGGAGGTGTTAATATCCACCTCCATATCGTCCTCAGGTGTTGGAATACCTGCATCGACCGTTAAGTTGCGTCGCTTACGCAATTCCTTATCCCTTTGCTGTTTCGAATTATGGCTCCTTTGGCTTATTCGATCCACATCCAACAAGTCCGACGTCCTAAATTCCTGTGAGAAATTGTCAAATTCCTGCTCAGTCATACAGGTGCGGATTTTCTTGCTCGAGTTGTTCACCGAGTCATCGTCAGAAGAACGAGGGCTATTACGTGCGCGTCGCGTGGTCGAGTCCGTCGTATCCATGTAATCTTAATTAACGAAAAATATTCCGTGCTCTCCCTCCGAGGGGGGGGGGGGGGGGGCAACACTAAGAGAAAGTAAAAACTCTCCCAAAAAAGGACTTCTCGTCACAACCTCCACCACCGCGCAACACCGTATCAAAAAGCCGGTATAATCTTGGAACAATTAAGCAACACAAGCAGCGGGCACACACGTCCGTCTCGCACGGTGGCTCGATCCGAACTCGATGCCATTTGTCATCATCTTGAGCGGTTATCCCGCATGTTAATAAGTGTCCACAGCACAACAAATTTTCTCCTTCCATGAAATTCCTTAAAGAAGAGGTGCACTGTGCAAATGCACATATTTCTTTTATATTTAGGTACATTTTTTTATCACACGCGTTTAAAAGGCATGATAAACCATCTCAGACCGTATATTTGCGTACAACTTTCAGGAATAGGCCAGCCATCTTGGCCTTGTGACGTCACGGCTACGTCACGACTGAAAATCCCAATACGCTGCAGCTAAGGGAAACTTAATTTATCGAGTACTATTTACTATGTTTAAAGCAAATGAATTATACCAATAAAAACTTTATACTGTCTACTACTATAAAAAAATAGAAATACAAAATATTTTCTCTCTCTCTCTCTCTCTCTCATTCTTTGTATTTAATTTAAAAAACTTTTAGAAACTCTTACATTTTTGCCATATATCCCATAGAGGTGGAATATATGACATTCATGGGTGAAATATACACCTTATTAAAAATTACAAATAACGTTTATAAATAAGGCAATAAAATGTCATAATAAGTTATAAAATGTGTGTAAAAAGTTTATTAAGGTGTAAGAATAATAAACAAATTATAAAACTAAAAAATTAAAAAAAATAAAAGAACGATAGATGCATTAAAAGTTATTGTTATACGATCCAAAAAACAAAGAAGGAAAAAGAACACACAGGAGATTTTGATTTTTACGGAGTGTCTGTACTATGGCATAAATCATGCGCGCTAAAAATGCCGTATATCCTAAACAGGTGGGATATACAAAATATCAAGCTAAATAAAGAATATAAGAGCTATGCACTTGTATTTTGCTGTATTCCATCCTTTACTATCCCTCTACACTTATGTATCATAAAATAACCATTAAACCTTTTACATTCCCTTATACAGTAATCATTTAACGTAGATAGTTATATATGATCGCGTTACTTACTACGGTGAGAAATCGATTCAACTCACGACGGTTTCGTTAAATTTACAGTAAAGAACTGAAATTACAACACCTGTTAGAGCAGAATAGTTGCATGAAACGGAGCGGGAGAGAAACGGGTTAATTTCACTTGTTGCTGTCTATATATAAGCTTCATTATATTACAATGTATGGCGCGTGTTTGCTCTCATGTTTCCGGACTGCGACTGTTCAGTCGCTAGGCGAGACCGGCTTGCTCGAGATTTGGTGCGCGCGCATGCTAACAGGAATAGGCTCGGCGCTCATCTCGATTTCTGCAAGTACGGACTTATCGATAAACATGTCAATATACAATCACTAGCATCACGTAAAACAGGAAACGCGATTAACATTTATTCTTAACAGTACATGAAGCACGGAAACGCGGAAATGCGAAAACGCGAAAACGCGGAGTCGCGGAAACACTGAAACGCGGAAGACAAATGTACTAGATTCCCGCGTTCCGTTCCGTCTGTTTTGATTGCCTTATATTACATGGCATATTTTGAGCGGAAAAGCGGAACCGAGAATTATAAAATGTTAATTTTTAACGGTATTTATTGATTAAAATGCTTGTATTCAATAAATAAGCTAAAAAGATAAGCATGGCATATTAATAAAAATTGCAATAAATTAAGTGAACACAATTAAAAGAAATGAATACAAATGTCTATTTGTCACATACCGTTCCGCTTTTCCGCACAAATTGTGCTCTATATGTAATATAAGGCAATCAAAACGCGGGAATCTAGTAAATTTTATCTTCCGCGTTTCCGCGTTTCCGCGCTTCATGTATGTGTCACCCTGACGCTCGCTTTGTGACAACGATCAATAGAGAATCGCTTTCATTAAACGCCAATTTTGAACATCATTCGATCGAACGTTTCTTTCCCGATAAAATAACGTTAAAGAAACTATTATAGAAACGTTTTTTTTAATAATAAAATTTAAAATTCCTACTTTTCACGTCTTTTGAACGTGTTTATGATGTCTTTGAGACATGCGTCAGAATGTTCTAGAAGCTTTATACATGTACCATTTATACTATGGCGTCTATTCTTTTTCGAAGGAATTCCTTAACTGGTGCACATTCGCAATAAGTTAGAGTGAAACAATTAAATATACTTGCCTGACTCTAACTTGTACAGTCCGTTATTGGTTTAATCGTTTTTGTTTCTGGTGATCTCGAGAATGAGTCGTGTGTGCGACCTGAGACGAAGGTCGATAATGATGAATTAAAGGCGATAGTGGAAGCGGATCCATCTCAAACTTTGGGTGAATTAGCAACAAGGTTTAATTTTAGTATTAAAACAATATTGGTCATTTGAAATCAAAATGGTAAAATAAAAAAGTTGAAAAAGTAGATGCCACACGAATTGAACGAACGCCCAAAAGAGCACGTTTTAAAGTCTGTATTTTGCTGTCAAAACAAAAATGAATTTTTTAATCGAATTGTTATTAATTGTGATAAAAAATGGATCCTGTACGAAAATTGCAATAGTTGGGTCCAAGTAAAGCACCTGCTTGGAATATTCCCCAATTCCGAATTCGTAGTAACGCTCGCGAGTCGCGTCCATGTTATTTCTCCTTTCCAGGCTCTAGTTCAGATGGCTTGTCGATTGAGTAGTTTAACGATAAGCGGAAGAGAGAAGTGAGAAATAAAGGCGCATTACGCCGGCACTTGCCGAAAGGGACATGTTCCAAAAACACATGCGATTTTTAGTTTTGATAATCAATCTGTAGTTAGACCAGAGTGCAATAAACCAAAGGGTGCTAAACTTTACTGTGTGCTTCTTGCGGACTATTCGCCCTACTGCGACTTGTCGCTGTTTGAACATAATTTGGGAGAGATACTTCTAGGTATTCGGTCAGGAGCATTAGAAGTTCAAACATTACCAAAACAGTGCCTGAAACGTCTACCAGAAGAAGCTTATAATCACTGTTTGGTGATCCTCTGCCGGTGTTATTTATTTCAGTTTCATAAAACTTGGGATAAAACTTTGATTACGGTAGATGTAACTGCAAGGAATTGTAAACCATGATGGAGAAGCTTGCAATTAAATATAATAATCGAGATTAATCAATCACTCTTCCCCTATCTTGTTTCATGATAACGCGCGACCACATATTTTACAAAAAATTGTATCAAAATTGCAAGAGCTATAATTGGAAACTCTCCGTTAACCGCCATATTCCCCAGACCTTACACCAACAGACTACTTCTTTTGGAATTTGAACAACTTTTTACACGAGAAGAAATTTAATTCACAAGAGGCTGTCGAAAGTGCCTTTGATTTTACCATTGAAATAGCAAAAATGTATTAATAATATGGGTGCATACTTTGATTGAAAATAAAGTGTTTGTCTTAAACACAATATGCCAAACTTTTTATTCAAAAACGGTCACATAAGTAAATCTCTGATACTGGCTTTCATTTAAAAAAAACTACACAAATGTGATTTTGTCATAAGAAAAAGTTGATCCTTTTAATATAAAAAATCGTGCACATATTTTGTGCGCTGTTGCGTGTCGCAACTCATTTTAAATATTTTTAAATATTTATGATTTCTATTCCAAACAGTTTTTATAAGCAGTTTTCCCAAACAAATACTCCAATAAGCCCACTATTTGTCTAAGCCCTTACCTCATGACTCATTTACTTTTTATAATATCTAAAATCCTTTCCTGAACATCTGATCCACAATCAACTAATAAGGATTAATCGTATTCAAACGGATCATATTGCACCATGTACCGATCTTTTCCTCTTTATTTTTTCTCTTAAGAAACTGCACTAATCACTAATTCCGAGAGATTAGAACGTCATGTTATTGGTTATTATTTCAACAAAAATTTTACCTGTTTTTTTTAAACTAAGATCCCTCTTGGACACATATTATAAAATTTTTCGAAATGGATTTTGACCGAAATTGTTTAGTTATTTCCTAGATTTTTATTACGTTTTCTGGAGAAAACGGAATAATTCTAATCAGAATCCATTCCGAAAAGTTCAATAATATATATACTCTGAACTGTAAAAGCAGTTCTCAGCAATGTGTATATAATTGTTTATATATTTTTTTTAATATTTTCCCAGTTCCAACGTTGTTCTCCTTTACGGAAAACTTTCATCTGAAGTTCTATATCGATGTCTAGATAATGGTATACATTTGCACTTTTCAGCGGTATCCATTTAATAGGACACAAATCCGAAATAACAGGCGTTGGATTTCTAAATAAAATTAGCATTAATTATTAATATGCAATATATACTCTCCATATAAAATGCGAATAAAAATATTAAGTCCATAATACCCTGTTTTAGCAAAATCTGCCCACAGCTGCGTTATGTAATTTATCATTTTATAATCCTTCGAATCAGGTGTAGGCAACGATATTCCCAAGTCTTTCATCATGTGAGGACAAAATAAATAACCCACATCCTCGAAATGAGTTGAACCTATAAAATGTATTGTCATACAATAAATTAATCTTAAAAATGCAAACTGATAATTTCTACTACATATATTAATCTACAGTGTTTGATTTAAATATATACAGAGTGTTTCGAAATATGTAAGAAGTATTACAGTGGTGGATTTAGGATACAAAAACAATGAAGGAAGTTTATATAAACATATGTCCAGTTATTTGACCTTGTTTCCAAGTTATAGCCATTTTTGTGCTTTAGTAATTTACAGCTGCTTACCTTTATAGGAGGTGCTCGAAATCGTCCTTATTTTGTTTGTATTTGTAAACAGTGCAATATATTTTCAGAATATTCCCCTTGTTGATTTCACACATTCTATTGAATGAATTATAATAAGTGGTTCTAGCAAGAGAACCAACTGAAGTGAGTAAATTCAATCAATGGTCTAGTTTACACCGACTGTTTGGTACCCGTACCATGTATATAGTGTATATACTCATATTTGTATCAAATTCGTATCAAATCTCGGTTTACACCGGTATAATCCGAGATTTAATACGGATTTGATACGGAGATTCACAAATAAAATGTGTGAAATCAACAAGAACAAGGTCGGGAAATTGGGATCTGACATTCGTCGCCATGACATCTGGTGGTCGAAAGTGAAAGCACTCAGGGCTCACAGATCTCGTGGCATTGTACATACAGGCTTAACGTGCGGTCGTACTGGGTTTGTGTTGTATTTTTATTAATATGGATGAATTTTCCCCGCGTTGCAAATCTACGAGCAGAATTGAGTGTTTAGTTCGCGGTTGTAGAAGTAAGGTTGACAGAATTTAAATGTTCGATTTCATCGCTTTCTCAAGCCCAAAGAGTGCTTCGTACATGTCAAAAATTATTTTGGCAATTTAGAGAAAATTGATCGTTTCAAAGCCTGGAAAAATGGATTAAAAATGGAGAAAGTGACCCCTTGTTTGAAAGTGTGTGCACTGCATTTCAAGAAAGAGGATTATATACTGATTATATAAAATATAAAAATTATATTTTATATAAAAATTAGTTTGAAATTTTGTTTAATCTAAAGCGTGAACATCGTGAATGTGTAAATGATACATTTTCAATAATAATTAACGGTGAATAATTAGATGATAGATGTTGTTGCAAAAACGAGACGCTTGAAGAAAACTGCTGTGAGAAGTTCGTAAACACAGAGCTGTAAAGTTCACAACATCACCTCTCATGTTTTGTTCATTTATTCTACATCTATTATTATAAGTACCTGACGTATGTCTGTCTGTCTGACCGCAAACCTTCTCATTCGTTAGTGGACCGAATTTCAAAGTATTGTATATGAAGTAGGGGTAGAATTTTCCGGGGAGTGCTATAAAGTATACAATTTTGTTACCGATTTTTTGGAAGCCGATACCAAAATTTTTCCAATTTTTCGGGAAATAATTGACCGAATCTCAAAGAATTATATATAAAGTAGGGGTAGAATTTCCCGGGAATTGTCATAAAGTGTATAATTTTTCGTTACCGATCTTTTTGGAAACCGGTTACAAAATTTTTCAAATTTTTCAAGAAATAATTGACCGAATCTTAAAGAATTATATATGAAATAAAGGTAGAAAGAACTAAAGAATGTAATAGAATTAGAAAAATTGCTAATAATAAAGAAGTTTCCGATTTCTGTTTAAAAAAATGTACGTGATTACTCCAATTTCCGCAAATTTTGAGATATCAAGCTGAATTTTTTTATAGATAATTTTTATGGATAACTTTTCGTTACCGACTTTTTGGAAACCAGTTTCAAAATTTTTCAAATTTTTAGAGAAATAATAAGTATTAATAGACCGATTTTCTTGAAACCAGTGCCAAAGTTTTTTTAATTTTTTGAGGATAAGTTTAATTTTTTATTAATGGATAATTTTTAATTAATGAATTGATTTTCTTGAAACTGGTGCCAAAATTTTTCTAATTTTTTGTTGATGATTTTGATAAAACTGGTACCGCAAATTTTGAGATATTAAGCTGAATTTTTTTAAAT